TTCTACACATGGATTTCACCTTATGGTATGCATAAGAATCAGACCCATTATATCTGAGGAAAAAACCACTGGAGAAGCTCAATATCAGCTGTGAAAATTAGGCCAAGAGCTGATTGTGGAACAGACCACCAACTACTCATATGCAAGTTCAAGCTGAAGCTGAGGAAAATTAAACCTAATCCACAGGAACCAAAATATGACTTTGACTTCATCTCACCTGAATTTCAGAATCATCTCGGGAACAGGTTTGAGGCCATGAGTTGTGGGAAGATGTCAAATGTATCATCCAGGAAGAGTGCAAATGGTCATTACAAAGACAGAAGAGGAAGAAAAGACCAAAATTGAGGTCAGAAGAAACTCTGAAGATTGCACTGGAACGTAGAGACGTCAAAGCAGAAGGAAGAATTCAATATACTAAAGAGCTGAACAGAAGATTCCAAAAGGCAGCACGGAGTGACAAAGCAGAGTATTACAATGAAATGTGTGAGGAGCTAAAGTCAGAAAATCAAAAGGCTGAACTCATTCAGCATTTCTTAAGCTCAAGGAACTGAAGAAAAAATTCAAACCTGAGTTGTTATAATCAAGGATGCTTTAGGCAGAATGTTAAATGATCCAGGAAGTATTAAAAGAAGATGGAAGTAATATACTGAGTCACTATATCGAAAGGATTTGGCAGATACAAAAGAATTTAATCAAATAACATTAGAGGAAGAGCCTATGGTGATGAAGGAAGAAGTTCAAGCTGCTTTGAACGAAAAAGCAATGAATAAGGCCCCAGGAATAGATGGTACACCAATTGACATGTTTCAGCTAACAGATGCTGCCCTGGATGTGCTCACCAAGTTGTGCCAAGAAATCTGGGCGAACTGACTGGAAGAGATCTATATTTGTTCCAATTTTAAAGAAACGTGACCCAACAGAGTTTGGAAACTATAGAACAATATCATTGATTTCACATGCAAGCAAGATTCTACTGAAGATTATCCAAAATCTACTGGACAGCACATCAGCAGAGAACTGCCAGAAGTACAGGCTGGGTTTAGAAGGGTCGTGGTACTAGGGATATTGTAGCTGATGTTAGATGGATCTTAGCTGAAAGCAGGGAATACCAGAAGAATGTCTATCTGTGTTTCATTGATTATGCAAAGGCATTTGACTGCGTGGATCATAACAAACTGTGGCTGATTCTGAGAAGAATGGGAATCCCGGAACATTTAATCGTGCTAATGCGAAACCTATACTTGGACCAAGAGGCAGTTGTCAGAACAGAGCAGTGTAACATTGCATGGTTCAAAATTGGGAAGGGTATACGCCAGGGATGTGTCCTATCTCCATACCTTTTCAACTTGTATACAGAGCAGGTTATCTGAGAGGCTGGGTTCTATGAGGAGAAATGTGGTGTCAGGATTGGTGGAAGATCTATTACCAATCTTCATTATGCAGATGACACAACCCTGCTTACTGAAACTGAGGAGGACCTCATGCACTTGCTGCAGAGGGTCAAGGACTGCAGCCTTCAGTATGGACTGAGGCTCAATGTCAAGAAGACAAAGATTCTCACCACTGGACCAATTGGCAGCATCAGGATGGATGGTGAAGAGATTGAGATTGTTCACAGCTTCAGTTTGCTTGGCTCCACGGTCAACACTCTTGGCACCAGCAGTCAGGAAATCAAAAAATGTATTGTGATGGGAAAGTCTGCTGTTAGGGACCTCTCTAAAGTACTCAAGAGCAACAGTGTCTCTCTGGAGACTGAGGTGTCCCTGATACAGGCTATGGTCTTTGCAATCACTTGTTATGCATCAGAGAGTTGGACAATGCCTATTGATGATAGAAGGAGAATTGATGCCTTTGAGCTGTGGTGCTGGAGAAGATTATTGAATGTACCCTGGACTGCCAAGAAAACAAACAGATTTATCCTAGAGAGGGTTAAAGTAGGCAACTCCTTGGACACAAGGATTCTGGGGCTTCATCTGACATATTTTGCATATGTTGTAAGGAGGGAGATGTCATGCTTGGTAGTGTGGAGCGACAGCACTGGAGGGTAAGACCCTCTATGAGGTGGATTGATTAAGTGACTGGAGTAATCAGGATGAGTGTGTCAGAGGCAGTGCAATGGCATACGATAGAGCACGGTTTAGGGTTGTTGTATATAGGGCTGCTCTGAGTCCAAATGACTCGAAGGCACGTAACAACAACAACAATGCTAGTGACAGGAAGAAAATATGACATATATCTAAACTGAATGACACAAAATAAATGAAGAATGTGGCAATTATATTACAATATAATCAAATAGTGATTAAGTGCTATACAGTGTTGAAAATCTAGAAAATAGAAATCCAGAGAGAGAAACAATAAATATGGTATATTTCTTTTTGGAAATTTGAATCTATTTTTTTAGAATTTAAAATTATTATTTAATCAATTTTATAGAAAAACTAATGTGTGCTATGTACCTTATTTCCTGTAATTATCACAAATGATAAAAATATATGAAATCACATAATAAAATTTACAAATTAAATTTTTCTAAACCATATATAATTGGAAAATTATGGATTTGAACTCAAATCCACCAAACCAAAGCTTTACCCACATTCATAATAAAATCAAATTAATTTTACAATTTTTATCTGCAAATTCAGCTGTATTTTCCTAACAGTACATTGACAAAACAGAGCATTCTACAATCAATTTGTGTAGCATTTATTAATAGGAATTTTAATTGCTGCTTTCTGGATTTTGAAATAATTAGTTTAAAATATATTTCACATATTTATTTATATTATCTCCAGGGAAAATTGATGATAATTCCACATTTCTAGAACTCTATTAGTTCTAGAGATGGCAAAAAAAAAAAAATCACATTTTTTTCTTTTTCTAATGATGGCTTTGTTGCAAGAAACTGTGCTCCAATACCAAAGGAGCAGGGTTCGAGGCTATCAGCTGCTCTATAGAAGAAGGATGAGCAATTTCTTCTAGTGTTATTAAATGCTTTTGAAAACCTACCAGAAGGTCAACAATGGGTTGATTCTGACTCAATGGTTCACAACAGGAACAATATTTCATATATATGTCAAGAAATGTGTGCTCACTAATTTGAGGCTCAATATCAAGAAGACAAAGATTCTCACCACTGGACCAATTGACAGCATCAGGATGGATGGTGAAGAGATTGAGATTGTTCACAGCTTTAGTTTACTTAGCTCCACAGTTAACACTCTTGGCACCAGCAGCCAGGA